TGAGGCCAAATGTGAACTCAGTTCTTCCTGACTCCAAACCCAATGCTCTACCTACTGCACCACCTACTTGCCTCTAAAATTCTTTTGAGTTAGTATTATTTAGTATCCTCGCCAAATTACTTAAGTCACATAACTTAAGTTGTCTGGTGACTGGATATTCCAGGGGTACAGTGTGATTTCACAACTTCATTGGATACATTGGTACGATAGACTGGACAGTGAGTTGGCGTCAGAAGGGAGTGGAGTAGGCTCAGTTTAATATGATAAACATTACGTGCCTAGGAGCTGGAAGGTAAGAGACAACAAGGTACTGTGGATGAAGAGTGATCTAGAAGCCAAGCCAAATGCTCACAGTCTGATCCACACTGGTTGTGTGAGAATGGCTAAAGAAGTTAGCTCTTCGGGCAGCTAGGTGGCACAGTAGATAGAGCCATGGAGTCAGGAAAACCCAAGTTCAAATCTGGTCTCAGACACCTAACACTTACTAGCTGTGTCACTTAACCCCAATTGCCTCACCAAAAAAAAAAAGTTAGACTTTTAGTCCCCCTGACAGGTCTCTAAGACTATAATTTGCAGGACACCACACTGAAAAAGGGAGTTTCCTTAATGGGGATTTTTTTACACCAACAAATTCATAGGTGGGGGCAAAAAAAATTTATAATGATCTTCATTAGCGGTCAATAAAAATGTTACAAGTCAACATGTATACTAAGAGTCATAATGCTAGGTAAGATTTACTTTCTAATATAATTAACTCCTAGAATACAAATTAAATTAAAATAGCAATTAAATTAGGTCTTTATTATAAAGTAATTTTTCCATATACAACTTAAGACAAATATTGAAATAGTTTGAAAGGAAAAGTTAATGTTAAAGATGAACTTTGGCTTAGTATAGCTTCTTTCCTAGATCTACTCCAGTAACTCAACATAAGTGAAAAAATAAATGATCTCACAGCAGGGTATTAGCCAGATACAGAACCTCTTAGCCCCTTTGAGGAAGGAAAGAGGAACGCTATCCAAGGGACTAAGGCCAGAGAGAAAAAGGGAAATAAAGTAACTAATATTTATAAAGAACTGTCCTTAAGAGTTATTCAAACCCTGTCCCTGATACTAGTTGTGTTTTACTGAACATAATACTGTAGTGCCCCAGTCAACTATATTAAGACTAATTTGAAGAATGCCTGCTGATTTGCATTGGTGGAGGAATTCTTGATCACAGATCCATTCCTCCCAAAATACCAACTTAAAATTATTTACATAATCTGGGAAGATGGCAGAGTAGATCAGAAAACTTTCGGCTCTCCAAATTTCCTTTACAAAAAAGACAACATCCCCTTGAGCTGCAGAAATAAACACGGGGTAAAGCAGTGGTTCACTTAAGACAACCTGAGAAGACCCCAGGAAAGACCTGACCCCAGGGGCAGAGATTCTGCCTGAGTGAAGTACAAACACCCCCAGGCCAATTCTACAGAATCAACAAGCCCTGGGGGCAGCTGGGGTTGGGGGGCAGCCTCAGCCTTAGAAAGTCTTATCTCAAAAAGTGTGGGGATCTGACTGCTGAGGAAGAGAAGGCTGAAGGACCTTTCACTGTTGAGGGACACCAAGCATAAGTGTCCTAGCACATGCCTGGTGAGTGCTGTAGCAGAAGGGCAGGGACCCTGTTGACTATGGGTACTTGCAGAACAGAGCTCCTGGTTTCAGTTCCAGGGCACAGAGGACAGCTGTAATTTGCAGCACTGGAGGGACCACAGGGAGTAAGATCATTGTGACATGGAGTTCTAGTGGTGGCTCAAGAGTGGAGAAGAGAGCCTATGGTTGAACCCCAGGACAGATCTCAGAAAATAACAGTAAGAAGAAACTGAGGCTTGGAGTATTACTCTTCCTACTCTGATGCTGAAACTTCATCACGCTAATAGCTACTAAAAATAATACGAAAAGAAAAATGAGCAAGCAAAGGACAAAAAACCCAATCATAGATAGTTACTATGGGGAGAAAGGAGATCTGGGTTCATATTCAGAGGAAGATAATGTAGCTAAAAAATCTACTCCTTTTTCAATGAGACATGTCAAATGGCCCCAAGCACAAAAAGATTTCCTGGAAGAACTTAAAAAGGACTTTAAAAATCAAATAAGAGAAATCAAGGAAAAATTAGAAAGAAAAATAAAGCAATCCAAGAAAACCAAGAAAATTATGAAAAGGAAGTCTTAAACTTGAAACAGAATCAAAAACTTAAGAAAAAAATTCCTTGAAAACTAGAATTGGGAAAAGGGAGCTAATGACATTCCTAAGATACAATGAAATCATAAAACAAAATCAAAAGAATGAAATGATAAAAGAGAATGTGAAACATCTCATCAGAAAGACAGATGATCTAGAGAACCTAGAGAGGAGAAATAATACAAGAATAGTTGGACTGCCTAAAAATTATGATTAAAAAAATAATCATGACACCGTATTACAAGAAAATATTAAGGAAAATTGCCCTGAAGTTATCAAACAAGATGGCAAAGCAGAGATAGAAAAAATCCACCAATCACCACCTGAAAGAGATCCTAGGAGGAAAACTTATAGGAATACCATAGCCAAGTTTCCGAGCTCTCAGGTTAAGGAGAAAATACTGGAAGCAACAAGAAAAAAAAATTTAAATATAGTGAAGCTACAATAAAGGTTACACAAGACCACTCAGTAGTTACTATATTGAAAGACCATAGGTCTTGGAATACTCTATTTTTGTAGAGCAAAGGAGTTGGGGTTATGACCAAGGGTAACTTATCCAGCAGAGTTAAGTATAATCCTGAAGAAAAAAAAAAAGGACATTTAATGAACTGAAAGACTTTCAGGTATTTGTGACAAAAACAGCAGAGCTTAAGGGAAAATCTGACATACAACATTCAGGAGAAACATAAAGTAAACATTAATGACCAATTATGAGGGATGGTAAGGTCAAATTGTTTACTTTTTATATGTGAAAATATTTTAAGTGTTTTATTACTCATTCTTATTTCAGTAGTCTGAAAGAAAGGCATGGGCTGACTATGATGGGATGGGTTGAGTCTAAAAAAAATAAGACGGTGTAGGGAGAGATAAAAAGGAGCAAATGTCTCATAAAATTCCAAAAAGAAAGAAAAAGATACAGAAGCAGCTAGTAAGGAAGAGGGTACTACTGAAACCCTGCTCTTATTAGGAATGGGTTAAAGAGGTAACAACATAGATATATCTAGAAGGGTATAAAAGCCTTCTAAATCCAGAAAGAAACAAGGCAAGGGGATAGGGTTGGAGGAAGAGGAGAAGGGAGGGATTCTTAGAGGGGTGGGTAGGTAAAGGAATAGGAGGGCAAAGCAGTGGGTAGAAGTAAAGTAGAGGAAAGAGGAGGGATAGGAATAGAGTGAGGACAGTGCAGGAAAATAGGAAAGAGGGAAATACATAATAAATAATTATAGTTTAGAATATGGATGGCATGAATTTATCTATAGGATGGAAACTGACATCAGATTAAAAATTCAAATTTAGTAATATGTTCTTTCAAGAAATGCTACAAAAATGAGAGGTACACACAAACATGAAAAAAAGGTCAGGAGTAGATTTTATAATGTAAAAAATGTAAGGGTAGTAGTAATCATGATCTCAAAGTTAAAGCTAAAACAGATTTAATCAAAAGAGAAAAATAGGGAGACTACACTATGTGTCAGCCATACTATTCAATATTGTTTTAGACCATTTAGAATAACCAGACAGTATAAAATACCTCAGCATATACCTGCCAGAAGAGACACAGGAACTATATGAACACAAACATAAAACATTTTTTATACAAAAAAGTTAGATGTGTGCATACGTATATGTGTACACATGTACACTATATGTGTGTGTATATATACATATATATATATCTATATCTGTGCTTAATTATAGCCTTCTTTGGAGAAGCAGAGGGGAAAAAAAATAAAGAAATGCACAGCAGAGAACAAAAGGAAACCTACAAGGAAGCAAAGACGGACAACTTTGAATATAATGAGTAGTATTTACTATATAGACTTTCTCAAAATGGAAATTTATTGTTTTATATTGAATCCTTTCCTGTGTTCTGCTGTGAACAAGGCAATGTTTTTTTCCTTTTGTATTTCAATTCAAAATTATATATATTTTATATATATACATATGTATATATGTATGTATATAGAATTAGGAAGAGCTACATTCAAATTTTGTCTCTGATACTGGTTGTGTTTTACTGAACAAGTCACATAATAGCTCAGTGCCCCAGTCAACTATATTAAAACTAATTTGAAGAATGCCTGCTAATTTGCATTGATGGAGGAATTCCCAATCACAGATCCAGTCCTCCCAAAATACCAACTTAAAATTATCTACAAAATATCCTATCATTTACTTAGACCTAATTGTAAACTTATAGAACTTCTCTTTTCTGAAATACAATCAATTTAAGTTTAAAAACTCACACCCTTCTCAAGGGACTGGCAAAGGGTGTTAGAGGTAAACCAGATTTGGTGTTAGGAATGCGCTCAGAACTAGAGCTCAGTGTTATATGATTATGTCTTCCTTTTAGATATACCTACAGCTGTCACTTATCTACCTATTCTAAAGATGTGAAATATTTTTTAAAAAAGGTCTAAGCCTAAAACTGGCCCAACATTGTTCAGAATACAATTTCAACTTAATAAAATTATTTTTTAAGGCCGTCTATGAAGTCATTATTGTAGGATAGTAGCTTCAGCCTTTTCAAAGCACCACTCTCCTTAAAAAAAAAAAAGATGAATATTGACAAATGAGGGATGACTGAACTGCTGCAAATAAAACTATTTCAAACAAGTAACATTAATTTTGTGTTAAATATTGGTAGGTTAAGCACTTCATTGTATGGCAAATGTAAATATTCTTGTGCTCTTTTAAATATTTTTCAATAGTATGTTATGCTTTTTAATGCTTTGGGGAAAAGTTCCATTTCAACCTCGATGAAATAATGGACTAACAAAAAGTCAGTTTTTAAATTAATTTATTTTTTACTTCTTCAGATTTGTCATGAAATTATTTCATGTGATACATTTCAAATTAATTGAGGCCATAATTGTAATCCAACAATTACATACAATGGTTTTCTCATTCAAATGCACAAGATCATGTCCAAATAACAAAATTATTAAAGGGGCTCAATTTTCCTTTTAGTCCTGACACTACTAAATTTTAATGACCATTAATCAGCATCCCACTACACATCTCTCAAGATGAGAAGGGATGGCCAAATTATTTCAGTAGTGGTGACTGGAGTTTAATGACATTTAAAAATTTTGTTGATGGAAATTACTCAAATGGATACACTTCAGTGTTTTGAAAATAAAAATCTAAATGTTGACATCTTGTTCTCCAGTGCAAATGGTATTCAGTTCAATCAATAATTAAGAGTATTTGATCTACATGTTCATTAGACCATTATGCAGTGTTTCACAATTCTTCTGAATGTTTTTACCCAGCTAGTTAATTTTATTTTTGGAGAAAATGGATATCCTAATGTCATATCAATGGCAGCATTTTCAGCAAGTAAACAATAATTATTTCAGAGGTTCAGAAACTGTGAGGCCAACAATCAATGGTATTACTGTTATACACTGAAATGTTCACTTAAAGTAGTACAACACTTTTAAGTGGGAGAATTAACTCCTAAGGCCAATTTACTATTTTGAAATCTAAAAAGATCATGATTCTTAAAATTCAGAGGCACAATGGAGTACATTAATGAGAGAAATTTCTCTTTGAGCATTAAAATTGCCCAGCTTGTAAAAGCCAACCACATTTTTTCATCCCATAAATATGGAATATCACTCACCCTCTTTTTGTTAGTGTTAGCTTGTATTTTAGTTTTTCCAAAATACAAGTGTGCTATAAATTTGAAGTAGATAAAAAAAAAGTAGCCCGTTTGAATGAGGCTTCACTTAAATTATATTGTCCTATACATACCATTCTATATGCTATTTAACCAGTAGACAGACTATTCCTGACAAGGAAAATGAGTACCTGAGGAACTCTCAAATATGGCAATTTTTCCTCAGCATGTCAGCATGCTAAGTATTATTAGTTAAGTTTAATTTAAAAATTAGTTTAGCAGCACAAATGTACAATAACCTGGAACCTGAAAAGGGCTGTTTTATTTATTATCTGTGCTTTAATTTGAAGTTTTAAAATAAACTTAAAGAAAACAAAATATATGTTAAAGATTTTAAAGTTCAATTAATTTGGGAAATGTTTTCACAATCTGATTTAAACAGTTTTTACCCTACTACAAAATCGAAGCCAAGATTACATTTTGAAGTAATGACAGATATAGTAAGAGAAAAGTATAGTAGTACAAATGAATGTTCTTCTGCTTTTGTAAAAAGAAAAATAATACATAAAATCTTATTGCAAAAAGACTATGGATAAATTGGAACCCTCATCAGCATGTGCATTTAATACATAGCAGAATAAAAAAAAAACCATACATATTCAATTGCTGCTACCTGAAACAAATTCAATATGTTCTCGTGTGTGTATGTGTGTGTGTGTATATGTGCATACGATGAATGATTTTCTTAAACTCAGATAATTTCCCACAAAAAAAAGACTCTGATGTAAAAAATTATATAAGGGAAGACAAAACACTGTAACAAATATGAAATTTTTAATGTTGGGGACTAAAGTTTTCTTCAATGCATGTCCCCACTGCCAGCAATGGGCTATATATTATTGACAACTGCCATAACAAGAATTAAGTATTTTATTACTATGTTAATAGGTGTAACTCCAGATTATTCTAGTGTTTGTAGAGCAAATAACCACTTGGCATAAGATGCTTTTGAAAAATTCCAAACTGTCAGTCTAGGATTTCATTGATTTTAGGGAAAAGGTGTCAAACTCTAAAAGAAAAGGATCTCTGCTGGCTACATAATAATTTAGAAAACCACAAATTAACACTGTTTATGTTTTACTGTATTTTTATTTGTTAAATATCCCAATTACATTTTGATCTGATTGTGGGGTAGGAGAGGAGGAAGCCCACCCTGGAATGTTGCAGGTACAGTATGACACATCCAGTTTAGGGAACTCAGCAAAGACCCTCTTATCAAAGCAGGTCTGTCATTGTTCTGTAATTTATGATCTTAGAAAACTGCCTGGGGCATCGAGAGGTTAAATAATTTGCTGAGGGTCACAGAGTCAACTTGTGGCAGGTACAGGACTTGAGACCTTCTAGACTCCAAGGCTAGTCCTCTATCCAACATACCATGTTGCCTTAAAATATCAAACATACCATATGAAAACCTGGGATAGTAAGTTCTCTTTAAAAAAAAAACAACCAAAAAACTAAGTACAAGTAAATGTAAAATGACTTCAGGACACATATATTTTTTCAAGAAACCTTCTTTCCTAGTACCACTGTGAAAGCCTATAACATTCGACTATGTTAAAATGTTATACAGAGAGAGTAAACAAGCCTGTTAATATCTATCATTAACTTATAATGACAAATATTAATAGGATATACCTTATCTATGTAAATAGTCTCTAATCACAATTTTTATACTCTGGCACTTACTGTTTACAATATTAAAATATCTCTTAAAGGAAATTATTTTTGCTTTTTCTGCCAATGGAGCTTTCCAGAAGAAAGGTGCTATACAAATTTGAGATTTTATTATAGAAATTCTTAAGGGATAAGCTTAAAACATCTTACAAATTGCATAAATAAAGGGAAGCTTCTGAGATGTTAGCCATTAAAAAACAATTTGTAAAAAAAAAAGATCTTTTGTGGAATTAAAATTTTTTAAGCTGAGACTTATTTTTAAATTATGCTCATAAATTCAGAGTTTTCAATTTGGAGCTCAGCCAGCAGTTAAATATGCTAGACACGGCATATCACTTCACAGAATCTTATGGATAACCATAGATATGCATGAATCTTAGTAGACACTCTGCCAACCTGTGATGGTACCAGTGCCTCACTATTACAGATGACTATATGAAATAACTATTACATATGTTTTCAAAAGCAATACTATTATCCTGAAATAAGCTCATTATTACTGAAGTATATGTTCCTCTTTTTATACAACTTTTTTGACTAGAAAACTTTTAAAAAGATATCCTTAATCAATAAAAAGTAAGATAGTTTGAAGCTTTCACCTCAAGAAAATATATGTCTTTTTTTTTTTTTGGCACAATGAATTTTTAAAATCCAAGTACAGGAAGAAGGGATTTCATTTTGCAGAGTATAGGCTTGGAATTTTTCACTTGAAATGAACAGTTAAGTGTGTGTGTGTAGCAGTAGTAGTAGTGTTTTATGCATGTTGGTCAGAAATTTAGTGTCCTTAAGTGAAATACTATACTTACATTCAGCTTAACTTTAGTACCAGATATCTACATGCATACCTCTGATAACATTCATGTATTATACAGATATTGCACAAGTAAAGTTGCCAACACACTAATGCTGTCTGGGCAAGATTCCATTAAAAGAATGCTGCTCCATTTGGTCCATACTTAATATGAAGATCTGTACCAATGTTATTATGCATTGTTTATGTTTTTAATAGCCTTTGAAATTCAGCAAAACCTGTTTTTCATATTTTTAAAATGTTCCTTGAAAACAGGAAAAGCATCGTCTAATTATATGTATGTGTGTGTATGTATGTGCATGTGCGTGCATGCATATGTGTGTGTGTGTGTGTGTGTGTGTGTGTGTGTGTGTGTGTGTGTGTGTGTGTGTATAAAAATTAAAATGAGTGCACAGGGGTAGCAATGATTCCAATTTTGCCACCAGAGGTCTCCCTGTACACACTAAAGAACATCGCCACAACAATATTTAAATTCACCATCTATCAGAAATCAAGTAGGTGCAAAGTCCACTAGAAAACACATTAACATACCATTACAGCTGAGTGTACTCCTTCATTGCACAGCCTAATCCAATTTCTGTCAGTTCTTCCCTCCCTTTCCCCCCCTCTGCTCCCCAAAATGGCTTTAGGGTATACTGCAGCTGCTAAAAGGGCTTCTGTTTTTCTTGGTTCTCTGTTTGTTAGGTCTGAGATTGATGACATCTCCACCATTAAGTGTGCTAGAATTCTGGCCAGAGTGACTTCCACCAGCTGTGTTAAAGACACCTATATAAATTGAGGGGAAAATGCACAGATTATTCTGGGTCAGCTAGGCAGCATACCGATCATCTGACTAAAAAAAGCTATGACTATTGTTATTAGTAAATGTATTTTTGAAAATGCTAATTTCAATGCTCTGAATTATGTATTCTATCCCAAAATTTCAGATGCTACTTTTGAAGGGCAGTTGATTACATTACAGTATATCTGGAGTTCAACTTCATAAAATGTTATTGACAGTTTTTGTTTTTAAATTTTAGTTGAACATTAATAAAGATACTACGGATTTAAAACTTGGTTTTAATATAAACTATTCCCACAGAAACTAAAAAGTGGCTACAAAATTGCTTACGTAATATGTACATAATAAGAAATTGAGGGGATAGACTGAAAAAAAAATTCAAGTAGCCTAATTTCTACTTTCTTAGATAAAATAACTTTAAAATGGGTTATCAGTAAAGTTCTTCCCTCCAAAAAGACAATCAGGATTATATGAAGGCTCTTGTAAAAAGTTAAGGTATCTCACATACCTCTACTGTTCAGATTTCAAATGTGTTAAGAAATTAGAATAAATAAAATCCAGCTAACTGCTCAATATATATATACATATATATAAATCAGGGAATCTATGTCTTTATCTTACATTTAAACATAACTAAGTTTGTACTTTCCTATTTATATTTTACAAAGGGAAAATAAACATATTTTTTAAAAAAGGTAAATGGTCAATTAATGATGAAATAACAGGATGGAAAATAAGGTTATCAAACCTAATATTTCATGTTTAGCACTTACCTATTTTGTTACTACTTGTATGCATTAATTCTGGGTCTTCAACTATTTGCTGTTTGAGTTTCTGAAGATATTTTTCTGCTAAATATTTAAAAACTAAAATGCAAAAAAATGTATTCAGTCAATAAGATTGTGTGAATAAAATATTTCACATATACAATAATCAGCAGAGGGGTAGTTGTAGAAAAAGGGGCACACCAATTCACTTTTGGTGAAGCTATGAATAGGTCCAACCATTATGGGAAGCAATCTGGAATTATACAAAGGGCATAAAATGGCCACATAATTTAACCAAGTGGTTCCACTGTTAGGTATGTATTCTGTTGTTCAGTCATGCCTGACACTTCATGACCCTGTGGTTCATACTGTCCATGGGATTTTCTTGGTAAAGATAGTGGAGTAGTTTGCCATTTCCTTCTCCAGCAGATTAAGGCAAACAGAGGTTAAGTGACTCGCCAGGGTCACATAGCTAGTAAGTGTCTGAGGCCAGATTTGAACTCAGGTCTTCCTGACTCCAAGCCCAGCACTCTATCAACTGAGTTAGCTGTCCGGGTCAGAAACTGACTCAGTTTCCTCAACTATAAAATGGGAATAATAATAGCACCTACCTCCCAACATGGTTGTAAGAATCAAATGATATAACTGAAAAGCACTTAGCACAATGCCTGGCACACAGTAGTTGCTTCCTTCTTATCTCTGTTTCTTGATACATATGATAGAAAGTCAATGTAGTATAGTGGGTAGAACTCTGGATTTGGAGTCAAGAAAATTTGGGTATTTTTAAATCCTCTACTTGACACTGAGCAAGTTACTTCAATTCTGTGGGCCTCATATGTAAAATGAAAGGATTGGATTTGATAACTTTTGAGGTACCTTCCAGCTCTAAATATATGATTCTATGATAATTTACTAAACTAGGGCTCTGTCAGTGAGAGCAAGCTTAATATAAGTGAGTACCTCTGTACTCTGCCTGAATCAAACAACTTCTGGAGATTTTAGAAGGGAGTCCAGAAGAGAATAACCATGGTCACCAGCATGAAGTGAAGTATTCTCTTGTTATGCAATTATACCATATTATTAAGTAAGATTGGATAACAAATATTACTTTGAGGGTTCTTAATTATTTCTTGATGTCCCTAAACATTTCCACTTCTTTAAAACCAAAAGATCCTAATTATGCCATATTTGTATGGAGTGACATAATGTGGAGAGAAGAAAGGATCAAGGAAAAGAGTGCACTATCTAGTGCAAAGACTACAGAGAGTTCAAGAAGGATGAGAAAAGGTAGTTAGATTTGGCAATTAAAAGATGACTGTTAACTTTGGCAAGAGCTATTTCAGCTGAAAGATGAGGTTATAAGCCAGACTACAGAGTTAAAAAGAGTGTAGGAAGAGAGGAAGTAGAGGTAGTAGCTATTGTAGATGGCCTGCTCAAGGAGTTTAGCCCAAAAAGGGAGAAGAGATATGAGATGATAGCTAGAGGGGATGGATGGATCAAGTGAAGGTTTTTGAGGACAGAAGTGACATGGACATATCTGTAGGCAGTAGAGATGCAGCAAGTAAATAGGGAAAGACTGATGAATGAGAGCAGGGATGACAGAGAGGACAATCTTCTGGAGAAGATGGGTTGGAACAGGCTCACTTATTCATGTAGAAGAGTATGCTTTGGCAAGGAGAAGGACCAACTTTTCACGTGGGATAAGTAGAAAGAAGAGAGATGTAGAAGGCATCTAGGTGATGTGAGATGAGGAGGAGGAAATGAAAGAGAACTCTCGGAGAATTTTTCTGAAAATTTTTTCCAAAAATAGGTAAAGTTCTGAGCTTAGGGGGAACTATGGTAGATCTGAGAAGAGATGAAAATGTTTGGAAGATCTGCTATGGTGAATGGAATAGTGAGTTAATCAAGGAGGTAAAAAATAATTGCCTTGAAAAAAAATGAGGACTTAGTTGAGGTTATGCAACATAAATCTGTGGTGGACTTTGTCAGCATGGTTTTATGATTTTCTCTAGCTTTATTCAGCAGCATGTATCTAGGGGCAAAGGAAGTGGATGGTGGGAGTAATCCAAGGCTGAAGCTTGGCAGGAGAAGATTGGGATTAAGGGAGCAAGGGACACAAGAGAAGAGGACAGTCTAGATAGTCAAGGGCTCAAAATGGGGAAAGGAGGAAAAGTGCAGCTACTAAAGGGGTATTATAACCTGGGAAAGAACTAGGGGGTTGAATGAATGCAGGTAATAATATGGATGAAGAACAGAGTTTGGGATTTCAAGGTAAAGTAGAATGACAATAGAGTGTGATCTGATAAGGGAATTTCAGATTTCAATTTCAGACGTGATAACTTGTGAATGATGGCAAGATTAAAGGCATGACCACCTTTGTGTGGGGCTGAGGTATGGGTGGAGGAGTAGGTCATATGAAATGAGTAAGCTGAGAACTGTGAGATTAGGGCAGTGGTGGGGAACCTTTGGCCTCAAACCCACATATGGCCCTCTAAATCCTCAAGTGCAGCCTTTTGACTGAGTCCAAGTTTTACAGAACAAATCCTTTTATTAAGGAGATTTGTTCTCTGAATTTTGGATTCAGTCAAAGGGCTGCACTTGAGGACCTGGAGGGCCATATGTGGCTTCTAGGCAGCAGGTACCCCACCTCTGGGTTAGAGTTTTTAAGGTAGTATCAATATGCATGTTAGTATGAGGGCAAGAGCTGAAGAAGAAAGAAAGACCATGAGCCAGGCAACTGAACTTTGAGGAAAGAGGAAAAGGGTCCTGGAGGTCAGTAGACAAGAGCTACCAGGATGTGGTTAGGTGGCAGATACAGATTGAGTGAACCTTAAACAAACAGAGGTTACTGAGTGATGGTAGTAGAGGGAACAGCCGAAAGCATAGCAATGGGGAGCTAGGATTAGTCCATCACCCCCATCTCAACTATGAGTCAGAAGGAATGAATGAAAGTGTAGATTGTCCTAGAAGGGGAGACCATGTAATCAGAAGGTGGCCGAGTGAGACTCGGAAGATAGAAGGAGCGGGAAAGGAAAAAATTTAACATGAAAGCAAGTTTGTTGCCTATGGAGGAGTCATCATAGAGAACGTAGCAGAAGGGGAGGATAGCTTTAGAGTAGGACATTGTGGGAGCTGGGATGAAGGGAATGGGAATGAGGGATCAAGTGAGGGAGGACAAGGTTTGAGCAATGACAAGCCAGGGGTATAGAATCATTGAGATGAGCAGGGTATGACCTGGGCTGGGCTGTGGGGGCAGAGTTTGTTAATTACTGAGGAATGAGTTCAGGTTGGTTTTCATTATCCAAAGAGATTTCAGGGAGAACTTCTCTCAGGGGCTTAGGCAGTTTAGCCAGTGGACAAGTGCTAGGAGCTGAAGGAATACCACACATTTAAAGCCCTCCACAACCTAGCTCCAACCTGCTTTTCTAGGCTATTCACTATCCTACTTTATGAACTTAATGGTCCAGTAGTCAAACTGACCTTTTTCCTATTACTTACATAGTTCCCTTGCCTCCATGCTTTTAGGGGATTCCTCATCTTAGAATCTCTTAATTCTTTGAAAGCTCAGTTCAAGTACCACCTTGTACCTGAGCCCTTTCCTCATCTCCACAGCTTTTGAAACCTATGCTTTCACTTCCACATTTTTGTATTTATTCATAACAGAAGCAGTCTGGCTTAGGAAGGAGTAGAGTCAACCTCTAAAGTTAGGAAGATCTGGGTTCAAAATCCCATCTCTGGGTTTTTTTTGAGGGTGAGGCAGTTGGGGTTAAGTGTCCAGTGTCTGGTCTCAGACAGGATAAAATCCCATCTCTGACACATACTCAACAAGTCACTTAACTTCTTGGTGCCCCAGGCAACTCACTGAAAGTATTAACTGCAGGGAAGATGCTGATATATATTAGCAGAGGGTTTTTTTCTCATCAGAAATTCCTTATACTGATAAAATCACAGGTTTGATTAAAAAAAAAACCCAACTATTTTGTATATATTTATATTTATTACAAGTTTTTCCCCAAATAGAATATTATCTCCTTGGAGGCAGGGGCCGTTTCATTTTTGGTTTTGCATCCCCAGTGTCTAGCTTGGAGTAGAAGCCTAACAGATGCTTGTTGATTAAGCACTTAAATTGAACTTAAATATTTCTACCTCCACGAAGCCTTCCTTAATTTCCCCCTTGTTGACAATAACTTTTTCCAGCTTCAGTCCTCTTGTAGCAATTTATTTTGTACCTTTCTAATGTATTCATCATTTTATATTATGTTTTATAGCTATAGATATAGCTATATCTATTTATGGCTAATCCCCCTACTAGACTAAGCCCATTGAACACAGGAGCCATGTCTTCTCTAAACTCTGTATCTCATTATCTAATAGAGTCCACTATATATATACATCCTTTAATAAATGCTCATTATATCATATTTTTAGTCGCACAACAAACCCCTGCCTGATGAGTTTAGGATACAAATATAATTTCAATCTAGACTACAAATCTTTTCCAACCTCCCCTCCCCCTCCACAATCTGCCATCAAACTGAATATCAGTTGGGATAGTTAACCTAGAGAAGTAAAGCCTTGGAGCTGAGGTGGTATGGAATATGACTTGCAGGGGTGGAAAGGTATACAAAACATCTAGACAGAACTTCAAATCTTTTTATAATTGTATTGGTTAGCATAGAAACTGGCATATATTTAATCCTACTGACATTCAGAATCTCAAAATGGATTCACTCACAAGTATCTGCTTTATGTGAAAATTGTCCAGATTGAAGACTTACTCTAGCCTAGAGAGCTATCAAAGTGAAGGACAAGTTCAGGAATATATAATGAATCCACTATGCTAACTTCATCATTTTTTTTTAATTAAAAAATTTTTTTTTTATTACTTTTCTTGAATGGGATTTACTTATAAGAAATTGATATGGCAGTCAATTTATTACTTTTTCCTGGAATTTAAAGTAATTCAGTAATCTTTGGTACAAAAGTCTAAAAGAGGCACATTTTTGGAAGAAATATACATCACATACACTATTTATATTATTAATCCACCACTAACTAAAAGAACCAACATTTGCTTTCAAATGTCGTTTAATGATGTATGCTGTATGCCAACTACAAAACTAAGGAGAAAATACTGTATACTTATCAATCAAATCTGCTTTGTTTTAAAATAAAACACAACAGATATATTACTGCTAAATAAACACCAAAATAAAAAATATTTATTAGGTCAATGTAATTATATGAGTAAAACATTTCATATTTAACAATGATACTATAGTTCAGGCTGGAGAGGTTGTGGAAAGACAGGTACATTAATGAATAGTGACAGGAAGGATAAAACAGACATTAACACTGTATAATGAATTTTTTTGAAAAGCAATTTACCTTCAGTTACATTTAGGTCCTCTTTCACTGAAGCTCTGTAGAATCTTAACTTTAATTTTTTTGCCAATGCCTCAGCTTCTTCACTGCACATAAATTCAGAAAATAAAGCACTTATAAAGACATTATTTTCTAATATGACAATTATCATTAATTTTTATTGTTGTTTAGTTGTGTCCGACTCTTCATGACCCCATTTTGGTGGTTTTCTTGGCAAAGATACTGGAGTGGTTTGTCATTTCTTTCTCCAGCTCATTTTACAAATGAGGAAACTGAGGCAAACAGGATTAAGTTACTTGCCCAGGGTCTCATAGCTAGTAAGAGTGTGAGGGCAGATTTGAACTCAGGTCTTCTTGACTCCAATACTGGTATTCTATCTACTGCACCACTCAGCTGTCCCATCAATTTTATACTACTTGCTGAATATAACTTGGGAAAAATGACCAGACCAAGATCTTATTTTAGTCATTAGATTTTAGAAAGGTTTGAGTTTTGAAACCCAACTAAATGAAAGAAATTGAGTAACTACACTGTTAGTGGTGGGGGTCAGAAGTTTTAGTAGTAACACCTTTCTTCATTCTTTGCTATGCCTAAACAAAAGTTTATGTATAACCTAACAATCTCCATTCCCAGTAGCAACAACAATTCTACAAAGCCATCACTCTGTATGTCTGTGACCCTAAAGTCAATTATAACCGGTATGTTCTCATTTCATTTTATGTGAGACTCTTACTAGCAACTCTTTCTAGTCTGAAAAAAGGCAACAAACTAAACTGAAAGTTTCAGGCACAATTACTTCTTATACTCATTCTGGCCACAAAGCACACTGCTTGGCAAAAGGTAAAGTCAGCATCTTCACTGCAATGTACACAAAAATACCAACAAGGACTTCCGATTTTTATTTTACTGGAAACTGTTTTAAAAAGAAAACAAAGCCAAGATTTTTCAAGGTTATCAATAACGATAATTAAGCTATGTTCTGCAAATCTATTTAATAGTAGGATCAAGCTGACTACCAAATTCCATTTGTAGATTTGAATTCCATAGTTCTAAATTGCATAGAAAGAGGTCTTATAAAAAAAATCCCTGATATTCAGATAAGTGCTTTAAGGTTTGCTAAGTGCTTTACATTTTTATTTTATTTGGTCCTCAAAACCACTCTATGAAGTAAGTACTAAAGGTATCACTATCTCTATAATCCAGCTAAGGAAACTGAGGCCAAGATGAAATTATTTGGTCACACATTTAGAGCAGAATTTAATTTTTTCCACTAAACCATAGTACCTCTCATTTATTTACCAAACATCATAAACAATAAGTGACTATTTTGAGAAATAAAAACATTTGAAATAATTTAATATTTCAACATCCAGTAAAAGTATTATAGGATCTGTGGTATCTAAAATGTCTTCAACCACAGAATACTGCATAATCATAATGAAAAAGCTTGGCCCAGAAGAGCTGAGAAAATACAATGTTTGCTTTCCTCTTTGCATAAGTGAGCACTATGGGGTGAAACTGTAATATAGTCTCAGACTGGTGATGGGCTGATTAATTTTGCTGAAGTGCTTCCCCACTCTTACCCCTGTTATTTGTTACAGGGGATAGCTCACTGGGTAGAGGGGGGTCATATTCAGAAATTAAGGTGGTATAAAAATTAAAGATATCAATACATTTTTAAAAATGTCTTCAACCTAAGGATATTAATCATATTATCCTTGCCTATTGACAAACAGAATGCTTTGTAAATCTTAAAGTACTATATGAAAGCCTTCCACCCAAAGCCTTCCTTTACTTTATTGAGGGCTCACAACCTTCCTGATAACTCCATTTTCCATCAGCTGCTCAGCTTGGCTTTGACTCCACAGAACAACATGCCCTTGTGCTGGGTACCCCTCGTGATCCCTCTCTGCTCCCTTTGGTATGTTATCTTCTCCATTAGACTGTAAGCTCCTTGAAGGCAGGGACTATCTTTTCTTATTCATATTCCCAGTACTTAGCATAGTACCTGGTACAAAGCAGGTGCTTAATAAATGTTTATTGAATTAAAACTGAATTGAATATAAATATGAGTTATTAGTATTTGAATTCCTATAAATAGAAAGGATTGAAAAAAAGGATTTAGCATCTGAATGCAAAAGGACCCCTTAAAATATACTTAATCCCCCTCCCCCCATTTAAAATTCAGCACTAACTAGGCAAACCATTCACAGAGAGTCCACATTGATTTCTGTTGTAATGTAGTCTTTAAAAGCAGCTTTCCTAAATTTTATAAGCCAAAGTAATACCAAATTTAATTAATGCTTGGCTTCTGTAAAATTAAAAGAGGGTAGCCATCTTACTTCTTTATACAAGAATCATCCAAGAGGTCAATCTTGTTCTGTACAAGTACTGTTGGGATATCACCAACTTCAGCTACTACTTTCTCTCTCCAACTGGAAATTGCTTCAAAAGATTCCCTGTCTATAGTAGAAAACACAAGTACACAAGCTTGGGCTCCTATAAATGCCAAAAACAGAAATTGTTATTAAAATTAACGAAATCATCATTGAAAAGGAGATTTTATTTTACTTGTACTTAAGTTTGGTTATTTAAAATGTTTTAAGCAGGTTATAGTTTTACACTTTTAAAAGAATAGTTCAAAGCATTGTTCTCTCCTCCCCTCCTCATCTAACAAGTCTTGAATTCCATTTCAAGAATTATATTATGGGAAAACATCTAATTAGTCTAGATTTACTTGTTTACTTGTACCCACTTAACTCACTCTTCCTCCAAAAAAAGAGAACAACCCAAAACTGGGCAATTCACCTCCAGGGAAAAGAGTGTTTTTTAATTGAAGCTGATATTAGGATGGACAACTGCTGCTACGCAAGAAGTTCCACTCCACTGATGGAAGCAAAATACTGTTTCTATGAATCATGACATTTTCTTAGAATTATTCCAAACTTCCTATTAATAGCCAAAACTTTAACCTGACTACTTAATATGCTACAAGAAGAGGGGCTTGTGTTTCACGAGAGAAAAAAGTGTAGAGAACAAAGGGATAGATAATAATAATAATAATAAGAGGAATTGGATTGTAGAAGTGGAAGCTTCAGCAGTAAAACTCTTATCTACTACAGCGGAGGGCTGAATGGTTGTCAAGGAAAGATGAGGAAATTATGCAAAGATAAAGCATTCCCACAAAATTAGGAGAAATACATGTGACATATTAGCATAAATATATACACTTATTTTTAATAGACATTCGTAATTTATTTTAAGGCTAACTATAATTTAAATTCAATAAACCAACTGCTTGTTTTTAGGACAAAGCTGTGTTTATATATTAACAGATACTATAATTAAAATTCATATAAATAATGTGGAGAAAAAAATTGTGTTAGTACATCATTTCTTGGAATCATGAGGCCATAACAGGTCAGTTAACTCATCTTCCTGTTTCCATAGAGTTATGTACATATTTCATGACCGCAGAAAGATAATATTTCAGCTAACATTAAAATCTTTAGGTAGGCTTCTTCAATCTTCCGAAAAGTACAATATAGTTTAGGGAATACAAATGACTTTTGAGAATCGCAAACACTGTTAGATTTCCTAATATGAACTTTTAGTTACCTAGAAAGAAATGGACAATTACTAAAGCTCAACAAACAGTAAATATACCTGCAAAAACAAACAAAAAATAATAATCCCTGACAAGCAATTAAATTCCTAAGAAGCCCAAGATGTACATTTAATAACTATGGGCCAAAACAAAGATTAGAGCATAGGAACAGGAGGACCTGAAATTTTATGGATATCTCCCTCTACCAGTGCAGGTCAGTATTTTCTCCATTAACTTAGAAAGTTGGGGGAGGCAGAGTCAAGATGGTGGAGTAAAAAGCAGGGCCTCGCCTGAGCATTCCCCAAAACCCCTCCAAATCCCTTTAAAAATGACTCTAAACAAATTCTAGAGCAGCAGAACCCACAAAAAGATAGAGTGAAAGAACTTTCCAGCCCAAGACAACATAGAAGGTCAGCAGGAAAGGTCTGTTGCACCAGGGTGAGAGAGGAGCACACTCCAGAGTAGACCAGGCCCCAGAAAACCAGGAGCAGACCTTATACTGAATCAGCAGAGGCAGCGGCAGTGGCTGCTTTCCAGAGCTCTCAGCCTACAGATGGTAATAGGGTCAAACAACTGGTCAGAAGGAGATTATATTTTGCTAGCACTGAGGCAGAACTCGCTTGTTTTGCTCATACTCTGATCCAGGTCACAGTCCTGCGTAACAGTCCCAAGGCAAGGAGGAGCACCAACATAGGAGAACACGTGGCAGCAGTGGAGCAGAAACCCTCCTTATAGTTCCAGGACAAAAAAAGAGCATTTGTGGTCACTCACAGATCAGAGCACAGGCCAAGAGAGTAGTAAACACACCTCTCCTTAGATCATACCACTTTGGAAGAACTGAAAGCTTACAGCTGCCTAGAAACTCTGAAAACAGTTGCACAAAACCCCCTGAAGCTCCCTGGAAGCAGAGCCCTACTTAACAAAGAGTTAAAAGTCAACTAATGGGCTGGGGAAATGAGCCAACAACAGAAAAAAAACTGACTACTGAAAGTTACCATGGTAACAAGGAAGATCAAAACACACACTGAGAAGAAAACGAAGTCAAAGCTCCTCTATTCAAAGCCTCCAAGAAAAATATGAACTGGTCTCAGGCCATGGAAGAGCTCAAAAAAGATTTTGAAAATCAAGAGGGGTAAAGGAAAAATTGGGAAGAGAAATGAAAGTAATGCAAGAAAATCATGAGGGGCGGAGCCAAGATGGCAGAGTGAAAGCAGTGACTTGCTTGAGCTCTCCTCCAAACCCCTCCAAATACTCATAAAAAATGGCTCTGAACAAATTCTGAAGCAGCAGAACCCACAAAAAGACAGAGTGAAACAAATTTCCAGCCCAAGACAACGTGAATGACTGATCAGAAAGGTGCATCGCGCTGGGCTGGGAGCGGCGCGCTCGCCACAGGGAACCTGGAGCAGGCCTCAGAGGACTGAATCTCGGGCAGCTGTGGAGGTTTCCAGATTCCTCAATCCACCAATGCCAAAGACAAATTAGAAGGTCAGCGGGAAAAGTCTGTTTCTGTCGGTGCCTGAGAAAGGAAGGCGGGGTTTCAGCTCCATTCCCCAAGAGCGTGGCCCTGTGGGGGGGGGCTGCTTCCCGAGCTTCCGGCCCACAGACTGAGGGGGAATCCAGTGGCTGATCAGAGAGGGATTGCAGGGATCTCTTTGCCAGTGCTGAGGCAGGAATCTCTTCCTTTGCCCATGTTTGGATCTGGGCAGCGGTGCTGGGGTGAGGAGGAGCGCTGGCTTGGTGGAGCTTGTAGTGATTGCGGAGAGAAGCCCCTCCTCACAGTTACAGGACAGAAAGGAATACTTGTAGTCGCAGGCCAGGAAAGGAGTAAACACCTTGCCCCTTATCATACCACCTTGGAAGAACTGAAAATTTACAGGTCCCTCCCTACAAGTATCTCTGAAAACAGCTGTACAAGCCCCCGAAGCTTGGGACACTACATTCTCCACACTGGAAGCAGATTCGTACCTTAACAAAGAGTTTAAAACTCAGGTAATTGGCTGGGATCATGAGCAAGCAGGGCAAAAAGAGTCAGACTATATTATCTTACTTTGGTGAAAAAGAAGACCAAAATATACAACCAGAAGAAGACAACAAAGTCAAAGCCCCTACATCCAAAGCCTCCAAGAAAAATATGAATTGGTCCCAGGCCATGGAAGAGCTCAAAACCGATTTTGAGAAGCAAGTTAGAGAAGTAGAGGAAAAACTGAGAGTGATGCTAAAGGAGACCCAAAAAAATACTGAAGAAAATAACACCTTAAAAAATAGCCTAACCCAAATGGCAAAAGAGGTCCAAAAAGCCAATGAGGAAAAAATGCCCTAAAAAGCAAAATTGGCCAGATGGAAAAGGAAGTCCAAAAGCTTACCGAAGAAAATACTTCCTTAAAAATTAGAATAGAGCAATTGGAAGACAGTGACTTTATGAGAAATCAAGACACAGTAAACAAATCCAAAAGAATGAAAAATTAGAAAACAATGTGAAATATCTCATTGGAAAAACAACTGACCTGGAAAATAGATCCAGGAGAGAGAATTTAAAAATTATTGGACTATCTGAAACCCATGATCAAAAAAAGAGCCTAGACATCATCTTTCAAGAAATTATCAAGGAAAACTGCCCTGATATATTAGAACCAGAGGGCAAAATAGAAATTGAAAGAATCCACAGATCTCCTCCTGAAAGAGATCCCCAAAGGAAAACTCCTAGGAATATTGTAGCCAAAAATATTACAACTGCCAGAAGAAACAATTCAAGTACTGTGGAAACACAATCAGGATAACACAAGATTTAGCAGCTTCTACATTAAAGGACCACAGGGCATGGAATATAATATTCCGGAGGGCAAAGGAGATAGGATTACAACCAAGAATCACCTACCCAGCAAAACTGAGTATAATCCTTCAGGGGAAAAAATGGTCATTCAGTGAAATAGAGGACTTTCAAGCATTCTGATGAAAAGACCAGAGCTGAATAGAAAATTTGACTTTCAAATACAGGACTCAGTGGAACATGAAGAGGTAAACAGGAAAGAGAAATCATAAGAGACTTATTAAGATTGAACTGTTTACATTCCTGCATGGAAAGATGATATTTATAACTCATGAGACCTTTGTCAGTATCAGGGTAGTTGGAGGAAAAAAATTATATGTATGTATATGTAGATAGATAGATAGAGGGCACAGGGTGAGCTGAAGATTAAGGGGTCATATCTGGAGAATAAAATGAAGGGATGAGAGAGAATTATATTTGGAGAAGAAGAAAGGGAGAGGTAGAATGGGGTAAATTATCTCACAAAAAAAACAACAGAAAAGTCTCTTACAGTGGAAGGGGAAACAGGGGAAGGTGAGAGGGAATGAGTGAATCTTATTCTCATAGGATTTGGCTTAAGGAGACAATAACATACACATTCAATTGGGTATGGAAATCTGTCTTACCCTACGGAAAATAGGGGGGAAAGGGGACAAGAGAGCAGGGGGATGATAGAGAGGAGGGCAGATTGGGAAAGGGGTTAATCAGAAGTAAATACTTCTGAGGAGAGACAGGATCAAAAGAAAGAATAGAATAAATGAGAGGGCAGGATAGGATTAAGGGAAATAGAGTTAGTTTTTCACCACATGTCTACTATGGACGTGTTTTGCATAACTGCACATGTACAACTTATATTGAGTTGCTTGCCTTTTTAATGAGGGTGGGTGGGGAGGGAGGAAGAGACAATTTGAAACCTAAAGTTTTAAAAACATATGTTTTAAAAAAAATGTTTTCACATGCTACTGGGAAATAAATATAGGAAATGGGGTACAGAAGTCTATCCTGCCCTACAGGAAAACAGAAGGGGAAGGGGATAAAAGAAGGGGAGAGAGATAGAAGAGAGGACAGAGTAGGGGAAGGGAT